TTTTTTTGGAAAATCATAGCCTTTATTTTCTTTTCCAATATCATTTCATTTAATGATACAACGCATTGCTTCTGAATTAGTTGATTGACAATCCCATGGATGAGATTTATATGGGTAATTACAAATCATTAGTTGATTTGGCGAGCACTACAAACTATATTAGTCCACCCTATGATTATGATATAAATAGTGTTACATGTACAAGAATGTTGAAGATGAGCAAAAATCGTAATAAAGTACATATACTTTATGGGCAGTGTATTAACGTGTAAGATATATTTGATGATTTGACCTTGTATAAACGTGAAGTGGGGGAACTGTTATTAAGATTTGTAGCATCTCTAGACTACTTGTACTTTATTGACATTCCTTGGAGAAGTTTATTGGGCTTGTATCACCCAAATTGTTGTGTTGGATTTGTATGCAAAAGAGTCGAAGAACAATTTTGTAGAGTGTTTTTGTTTTATTGAATTTCTAATTTCATAAATAATAAATTATTTAATTAATAACTCTTAAGTTTAGCCAAGGTAAAATACTTTAACCTTTTTAACTTATTTCATATTTTCAAAACATCTTTTTAAACTATTTCTTTCATTTAAAAAATATATGTATATTGATTTTCTCAACCTTTTTGTTATTTTTTTAATCTAACGCTACCACTATAAATAAATAAAAAAACATTATCTCAAATACACAAAAATTGATAACCTTTCATCTCCTACATATCATCTCTACCCCATATCAGTTTTAAATATTTTCATGCCCCGAACGAAAATTTAAAAATAGGTCATATAAAAAGAAAATATATTGTATTATTTTGAACAATTAGTTTAATATTAAATTAATAAATGATAAAAAAATAATTAAATTATGAGGTATTGATTATAAAGATAGAAAGTAAGAACTATTTTATAAAGTTGAAAAAAAAAACAAGGGCCCTTAGTTATAAACTTTGATCGAAAAATCAAAAATAGACCCTATAAAACAAATATATATTCTGTTATTTTGAAAATTAATTTAATATTAAATTAATAATCCATAGAAAAATGATTAAATTACGACTTACTTATAAAAGTAGAAAGTATGGACTTTTTTTATAACATTGAGGGAAAAAAAGGACTCTTAGTTATACAACTTGAGAAAAAACTAAAAAAAAAAGCTCTATAGAATGAAAATATATTATATTATTTTGAATAATTAATCTAATATTACTTTAATAAAGCATAAAAATGATTAAATTATGATTTTTTAATTATAAAGGTAAAGGATAATAACTATTTTATAAAATTAAAATTTTAGCAGTCCTTAATTACAAAATTAAAAGTGGGGGCCCTAAGCAATCGCTTAGGTTGCACCCCTTAAAGTCGACTCTGCCTGCCCCTCTTAAGTTTACTGAGTATATCTGTCTGGAATTATTGTTGATTCACGAACCTCGTTTTTAAAATTCAGCAGGTTCATTGTATTAAGAAACCTAATATATTTTTAATTTTTTAGTTTGATTATACATCTTTGTCAAGCATATTTTAAAATTCAGCTGCTTTTGTCAGCTTCTTAAACCAAAAAAAAAAGAAGTACGAATAGGAAAAGCAAAAAGTTAAACCACAATATTATAAAGAATTAGAAATAAAAGAAAACAATAGTTAATTTAAAGCTCTGTATTATTATTAGCCTTGAGGTCATGGGATCGAGTCCTACGGAGGGCATTTCATAATTTGGAGGTCTTCTACGGAAGCTACTCTCAACCTGGTGTTGGGAGCATCCTACTATCTTACCTCCCCTTACCCCATTATATATGGGAACAAGAGACAACCATTTCTGTATTATTGTTACCATCCAGCTCAGTTGGTAGAGCACAAGGTTCTTAACCTTGAGGTCGTGGGATCGAGTCCCACGGAGGGCATTTCATAATTCGGAGGTCTCTTACAGAAGCTGCTCTCAACCTGGTGTTGGGAGTAGCCTACTATCTTACCTCCCCTTACCCCATATATATGGGAAAAAGGGACAGCCATTTCCATTTCATTACCCATGCACACAATTTCAAGTGAGATTAACAGCTGGATTAAGGAATAATGAAGAATGAAGGGATGAAGCCTTGGGGTATGGTAGTTTTTGTCCTACAAAGAGCTATTATATATTATTTTGAACAAACATAAAAAAAATGTAAGACATGTGGAACAGTGCCGAAATCTATTGTCTTAGGAAAAAAGAAAAAAAGACTATCCATGTTCTTTTGTTCTGTCAGAACGAGGTTTTTTTTTTCAGGTTGGTTTTGTTGTTCAATTTGAAGGGGACGCGATGCATGCATGTTTACAAAATATTAGGGTTTTTATTTTTCTTTGATTTTTGTTGGGACATCAGGATTTGTGCCGTGTAATGTTTTTTTTTTCTATTGATAATTAACGGTGACAATATTATATTAAATATAAAACATAAATAATCTTATTTATTACGTGGGTTGATGAGAAAATTGTAAGTGTAATGGTCTAATCATGGTTTTAGTCTCTAGTATGCAGCAATTTAGAATTTAATCCCTATATTTCAATTTAACATAATCACACCCTCTACTTTTGTAACATTATTAGTGTGTACAAATTAAAACATTATTAGTAGATCTAAATATTCAACTGATATATAAATTTGTTGTTGATTAACCATAGTTTATTGGAAGTTCACGTTGCTTTACTCGTGTGTGACCATCATTGGCAGATGCAAATATAGTTCAGGGTGGGCACGTGCTATCACTCTAAAATCTGAATTTATTTATATTGGTTGTTCATTTTACTGATGGTTCTCATCTTAAAATTTTATTGTACTCACCTCATATACAAAATTTCTATTATTAATATATATGTGTCAACCCTCAAATTTTTTTGAATCCGCCACTTAATTATGTTAAAGTAAAAAGAAATTCCACCGGAAGAATTCATCCGATGCAATCAATAGAGTTATTAATTTTGATTTACTAATAATATTATAAAAGTTAAGAGGCCAAATTACAATAGTTTAAGTAAAATGATTAATCCCAAAGTTCAACATGATAGAAGGACTAAAACCATAATTAAACATGGAAAAGAAAAAACACGAGGTTTTTTTTTAAACAGAAATGACAAGCACGATGGGTTACTGTCACAAATGGATAATCTAAAACAGGCAAGAAGTTGTTTTGTTCTAAAATTAAGGGTAATGTTAAGGGGTCAAATAATTATTCATAATGCAAATTTTTTAATTTTCCATTATTTTCACGATTTTAGCTAAAATTTATGAAACCTACTCCATTCCCTTTTTGGTAGAGTTTTCTTTTATATATATATCCCTCTAGTATTTAGGCGAGGGTCAACTCGAATTATTTCCTAAATTTAAAGGACTAGATTGAAATCTAACATAAAGTAGAGGCTCTATTTAAACTATTTAATTATGTCAAAATTAAAACACTAATCAAAGTTCGGGGACTAAAAAATCAAAGGACTAAAATATCGAGTTCTAATAGACTAAAAGATTGGGGACCTAAATCAATAATTTCTAAAGTTGAGGACTAATTTAAAGGCTATTTTTATCTAAATTATTAAACCTAAAATATTTTTAGAAAATATTAATTATTAATAAATTTTAAAAGTCGAGCAATCGATTCGAGTAATCAGACGTCTATTGCGAAAACGCGACTCGAATTTCTCCTTAATTAAAACTAATGTGAAATCCAAATTTCTAAGTTTGATACAAATATTAATCTAATTTAAAAACTAAATCTAGAATTTAAACTATGAAATAATCAAAACAATTAATAAAAAAATTAATTTAAAAAAATTAAAAACAATAAATAAATAAAAAGAAACAAAAAAATCATAAAATAAAATTAAATAAACCTAAAATATGAGGACCTAATTGCATAAAATAAAATAATAGTTACTAAAATGCAAGAAAATAAAAAATAGTAGTTAAATAGGAAATAAATAGTGACCAAAATGTAAAAATTAAAATAACAGTAGTTAAATCAGAAACTAACAGTAAGTAAATTAAAATAAATCAAAACAAAATGATAAAAATACAATAAATTAGAAACGAAATGTTCATCCAATTGAAAAATCAATAAAAAAAGAGTTCAAAATTTTTCTTATTGTTTGTATTTTTTTATTAGCTTTCGAAAATATAAAAAAAAAGGAAAAAAGAGAGTACCTTACTTTCGGCCAATATATATATATATATATATATATATTCTTATTATTAATCTAATTGCACTGTAATATTAACTGATTATTATTGAACATATATATTGATATTATTTCCAACAGAAGGAATCCAAACGCAGACAAGAACCGAAAACCTTGATTGAAGCCTTGTCATTTGTACATATATATTATATTGCCAGAGTGCTGACAAAAACTATGAAAATCCATGTGGGAATAGGTATGGCTATAGAGAGCTCGACATTGAATTTTTGTAAGCAGATGAATAAAATAAGTGAAAGAATAAATGATTGGGCAGTTCATAATGCAATCTAGGACAGCCCTGGGTTGATAATATAAATAATTTAGGAACCATATTCTCCATCTTCATTTACAGAAAAAGCAAAATACTAGTTTAACAGTGAAAAATGGAAACATCGTTATGGTATACACAATTCAAAGACGAATTTTATTTCAAGTTACCAAAAAGGGGATTGAATTTGTGTATTGAGGGTAAGAATTAAAAGCAGTAAAGTGGGGTTGACCATGAAGATGAAGTTTAAATCTTACTGGGTTTTCAGAGAGACGACGGAAAAGGAAGGAAATGTAAATAAAGAAAGAGAGACGGAATTTTGGTTACTGGTTAAATGCGAGAATATTAAAGGGAATCTTTTTATTTACTAACATTTTCTAATTGGAAAGTTTAGAGCTTTCCTTTGATGGGACATGTTGTCTTCTTCCTCCGGAAGAGAGAAAGAACATCTATCTCTTACCTTTTGTCTTTACTTGGCTTTGATTGCTCTATAAATCACTCACACAAGACCTTTCCTCAACTCCCCCCTCTTTCTCAGCATTTTCCTTAATTTTTCCCCTTTGCATTCTTTGCACCTAAAAATGGAAGAATTGGCTTCTTTATGGAATTATCAGAGGTGCGTCCTCTTCTTTTACCTATTCATTTCTGCTTTGACTCAGTGTTGTTTCTTTTTTAATGTCCAAGTAATGTTCTTCAAATTTCATGTTTTTGACAGAATTTTGATGAACTGAAACCGAAGCTTCAGTACAGTGGAATGGAGCTGGAATCTGTAAAAATGGAAGCCGATGAGCAGATAAGGAAATACAAGGATGAGCTAAAGCTTATGCTTAATCTCCTGACCTCGCTTACCAAAAGAGACGAAGCAAGAGACCAATTGCAGAAGCTACTCAACAAGTTTAATCCCTTGTGAAAATCCGTTATTATTGCAACGAACACGAACTCCAGCATAACCGAATCAAACAGTTTATCAGACACGTATAATAATCACCACCCTCACGTTCTTCCCCTGTTTGATTCCTTGTTCGATGCCGTCACTTCACCTGATTTTCCCATCATTAAAATGGCAGATTCAAGTGGAATTGGGCTTTTGAATCAACCCTTTGCGTCCGGTTTAGTCCCGTCAACGGTGACGACCAAGGTTTTTGATTCTGGAACCGCTGTGATCGATAACCTTGCAAAGGGGAAAACCCTGCCTGAAAAAGGGAAGCTTTTACTGGCTGTAATGGAAGCTGGACCTCTTCTTTCGACTCTGCTTCTTGCTGGTCCTCTTCCTCAATGGAGAAACCCTCCTCCTTCGGATGCTTTCAGAATCCCCCATGTTTCCATTAATGCATGTGATTCTAAAATCCATAACAAAAAACCGGTTGCCAGTCCGACTAACTGTGTTGTTAAAAAACGAGTGAATTCGTCATCACGTGGGACTCATCAAATGTGTTCATCGGCCATGTTAGGATTTGCAGGTTCTGGTTTACTTCATGGCTGAGTCAGTTACCGTTGAGTTCAGATGCAGGAGTTAACACTCAAATCGCAGTCACAAAGCGGCAAAGGTTTTAATGAGCCACTCACCGTTGGCTTCAGTTCTGTAAAGATTAAAAATTTGAAGTTCCGGTGGTGTAAATTCGATACTTTATTTAGAGGGATGAATTGAATGGGATGAATTGAATGGGATGAAATATCGTAGTTGTTTTACATTTTCTCTCTGTTTATTTTTCGGTTTATATATAATTTACTTTATTTTCTTAGTTATCAACCCGAATGAATCCGATTTAACTTTTTAGGCTTAATACCAAAATAACTGTCAAAATTATATTACTTTTCTTGATTAGGTGCTCAAAGTATTTTTTTTTTAATTATCTCGATGTCTAACGTTACAAACGATATCACTTTAAGTATCCGGACCATCAATGATGTTAATATCTTCTGTTAAGTGACACATGTCATATTCTGATAATTTTTAAATTTTATTTAAATTTAAAAAATAAAATTTATATATTTAAAAAATATAATTTTTGAAATATCCCAAAACTTTGAAAACCTTCATTTCAACCCCTAAACCCATGTTGGTCGTCACCCTTTGCCGTTTACGAAACTCCACCTGATCTCACTTCCCCCCGACCAAAACCCTTATAATCGTGACCGATCGATGATCAATCGACGTTTTATACCCCGAACCCTTGGATGAAATCTTGATTCCACGAGACTCCGATGGCTAATCAACAACAACTACGACAACATATGACTAGGAGGATGGTAAGGACTATGTCGCCGGCGGTGGTCGTGGCCAGAAAGGGCGGCGACGGAAGGTTAAGATTAGGATTGGAGGATTTTAGGGATTTTAGTGCTTTTTTTATAATTTAAGATAAATTAGGATTTTTTTTTTATAAATATAACAATATTTTTAATATTTTTTAAAAAGCAAATTTCAAAATTATCAAATTGTGACACGTAAATTTCAAAATTATCAACTTGTGACACATGTCAACGGAAAAATTAACGCCGTTGACAATTTGAACATCTAAAATAGTAATGTTTGTAACGTTAAGCATCTGGATTAGTCAAAAAATTAGACACCTATTCGAAAAAAGCGGTATATATTGACCACTTATTTTGGTATTAAGCCTAACTTTTAAATTTTCTCGACTCAAAACTAACTCTCACCCTATTGATAGGCATAGGTCGAAACAGGTTCATCTTGTATGCTGTAGCCTCAACTTCTTAAACCTTATAAAGCATTGAAAACTAATCAGATGCAGCGGTATATCAGTAGACGTAGCATTGCAAATTGAAGTAAAAAGTCAGAAGCAAGCCAAGAAAAACTGGTTATTAGTTTGAATCATCAAGTTTAACGAGAAATCGAAGAAGAAAGTGGTTAGTGAAAAGGAAGGGTCTTCAGTCTTGTCTCCTCGTGGAAGGTGGATTGTTAGGCAGTGATGTGGACGCATGCGCAATTCAGACCTCATTGCAGCAAACAGGGGCAACTTTCCACCTTGCTCCTCCACTTTAGACTTCACTATGTAATGATTGCGACATTAAAATATCATACATGACTCACTTGACCTACCCATGTCTTCCTTTCAGACGCGAGCCTTTTATGTTACGTTTCTTTTGTCCGTTTTACTTTAGTCTTGTGACGAGCAACTAATTAGGGTTATCGCTCTGCAAATTTTGATATCAGAAAGAGAAACCTTTGTTATTGATCTGGTATCTTCTAATCTTCTATATGAGACTAATTGAACATGCCGACTTGGTTCGTTAGACGCTTTTGACCGTTTTCCAGATACGACAGAATCAAATTTGGTTTCAAATTAATAGATGAATTTCCATTGGATTGTAATGCGACCCATTTAACAAGTCATAGAGAGATATTTTTCTCAAGTATTAAAAGCTAAGAATCAATCATTGATCCATTTTAAACACTTCTGAAGACAGATGTATAAAAAGATCACATAAGATTTAAGTGGCTGTAAAGAAAGATAACTGTAAAAGGTAAAATCAAATATTCCTGCTTAGTCTCGAAAGCATCTGCAACAAAACCAAAAAAAAACCCTTCAAAATAAGCTAGTCACCAATTGCTTGATTCCAATTTTGTTTGCCACATCCAAGGCGTCATAATCGGGAGTCAACCTAACGTATGCCTTCTTGTGCCGTCAGGCCTGAATAGTGAGAACCATGTAAATCAACAATGTCCATATATCATGTAAGCATAACAGAAAGGGTAGCAAAAAGATAAGGAAGTAATGAATGGATCATCAAGAAACACAATTGAAGAACACAAGAACTATATGGCATATACTTACAGAGAATTCAAAGCACGGTTGTTATCAGTTCTCCACCTGTAGCCCTCTAATATCATATTAACTAGCTCATGAACATAGAAATAATTCACAGCACAGATAGTTTTTTTTTACCTGATCAAGGTGTGACTTTCTTGGCCTGAATATCGTACATCTTCTTCACAGCATCCTTTATCTTCTTCTTGTCTGCACGGATGTCAACAATGACACCAAAGTGTTGTTGTCCTCAATCTTCTTCATTGCAGACTCAGTTGTGAGGGGAAACTTGAGATCTGATAATGATCAAGCTTGTTCCTTGGTGGGGCACTGATGCGAGGGTACTTGGGGTTCCTATCTTTCTTCAAGGTCCTTGGCATGTGAAAAGTAACTTTGTTCGGATCTTTGGCCTTCTTCTTAAAAGTGGGTCCAGATTTCACTGCTTTTGCAGCTTTCAAGGCCTGTGCCTTTGGATCTGCCTTCTTCTCAACTGCATGGTATACAACAATTCATATAATTAATGAAAATCTATAAATAACCTCAATGACCGAAAATGTCTTATAATATACGATTTTGACAATTTTTTTTTGATTTGTCAAAATGACCAAAAAAATCGCAATGCGTTCTCCAGTATCGCAAATCAGTTTCCGCAACGCGATTTTGACTATCGCATTGCGATGAAAATCTATAAATATCTCAATGATCGAAAATACCTTATAATATACGATTTTGACAAACTTCTTTTTGATTTGCCAAAATGATCAACAAAATCGCAATGCGTTCTCCAGTATCGCAAATCAGTTTTCCGCAACGCGATTTTGACTATCGCATTACGATTTTCCAAATTCGCGTCGCAATATGAATATATAATCGCAACGCGATAATACAAATCGCAACGATTCTGACTATCACAATTCGATAATACAAAATCGCAATGCGATTTTCCAAATTTACGGTAGTCCAAATTCGTTGCGATAGTCCAAATTCACGTTACGATAGTCGAAGTTCGCGTTGCGATTTTTTAAAATCGCAACGACTGGTGGTATTGCATTTTTTTCTTAAGAATTTTCTCTAAAAAGATAGTATCCGCGCGAACGAAACCGTATTACCACAACCACGACCACGACTACGACGAGACGGCGACGTGCGCGAGAGTCCCCCTTGTTCTCTTCCACTCAACAAGGAAGTGGGAAATCCAAGCCTTAAATACCCATTCTCAATAGTGTTTCCAATACTATGTGAGATTGAACATTGTAAACACTTGGAAATCTTTACACTATCACAACACATTCTTTATTGTTTCAAACTAGATCTTACAAATGGCTTGAGAATCTTTTACACTATCGCAACCATTCTTTATTGTTTCAAACTCCACGTGTTTGGAATAATTAAAATGTAACTTATTTTGGATTTTTCATTATCGCAACACTTTTCACTATCGCAACAACACGTTTTTCAACTCTCGCAACACATTTTAAACTATCGCAACACATTTTTTAAAATCGCGTTGCGAATCTTACAATCGCGTTGCGAATAGATATTAGCGTTGCGAATTTGGAAACTGAGTTGAAAAATTAGAGTTCGCGTTGCGATTTGTTGGTCATTTTGGCAAATCCAAAAAAGTTAGTTAAAATCGTATATTATAAGGCATTTTCGGTCACTGAGATTATTTTCTCATAAAATTATCAGCATACATTGTATTCTGGAAGAAACCTAAACAAAGCATCTCCAGTATCATTGCAAAAAATCATATCCTACAAATATCGGTTAAATTAAATTATAAAAACTGTCCCCATTAAGTTCCAACCTATGTAACTAACTCCTAAGCCAAGATTATATTTAGCTTAGGAGGCATTGCCAAATTCATACAAGTCCAATAAAAACAATTAACCTACACAGGAAACGCCTACTCCAGAATCTAAATTTACAAAGCTATGAAATCAAAAGTCATGTTAATGAACACAAGTATTTGGTAAATTCTTTTCCCTTATAAATCCAACACCTGAAATGGTATCCGAGAAATCAAAATCAGACCTCATAGTAGCAGAGAGTTTAAAGAAAAGCAAAAAAGGAACAGCAATTTCTAAACAACAAATAAAACTCTAGCAGATACTATAAATGCCATGATAAGATTAAGTTCTAATTCTAGCAGAAACTTAAGCATGCTGTCCCCAGTACCATTGCAAAAAAAATTTAATACTACATACCACTTCAATAATTTCTAAATAACTGTGTCAGTTGACATGTTCAAAGGGCTCGGTGGAATACCCAATGATCTAATCATTCATTATATAACTAAGCCAAGGTGATACATTTACTTGAGAGACATCACCAAGTTCAAATCAGTTTCAACGCAAACGGTCATGGGAGAAATCCAAATTTCCAAAGCAATGAAATGAAAACTCATGTTATGGGAAAAAAAAACAAGTTATTTAACAACCACTTGAAGCTCATTTCGATTTATAAAGTAAAACGGTAAAGAAGATACCAGATATTCTCATTGCAGCAACCAACAAACAAACAGAGAATAAGAAAACGAATCAAAACTTGAACAAGCATCACCAATGTAAAAGGAAAAGGAGTGAGAGAAAAGTAATATAAAGTCATATTCAAATCCAAATACCTTTGGGTGCCATTGTTTACAGCTGCCTCAACCCCTTCTAGACCCTGAATCAGTGAAAAAATTACAAAAAAATGAGCTCGAAATCATTTTTAACAAGTTCGAAAGAAATGAAAAAGGTGAAGGAGGATAGGAGACCTGTGGATGGGAAGCGAGCGGCACTAGGGTTTGCTGGGGGAGATGCAGAGGAAATTAGGGTTTATGTAAAATAGCATCTTAACCCAATGGGGCTATGATTATTGGGCCAACAAATCTAAAAGTCCACAACTAAAAAGTCCTGGCTCGTATTATGATTTGGATA